TATTTTTTTCAGCATGAGAAGCATATAGGGAAGGGTGGTGGAAGGCAGAGCCTAATTATGCTCGTAGTTTCCACACGACCCACCTTAAAAATTTCTCAGCGTGTGTGTCTGTATATTTCGGTATGTGCACTCGGTGTGTGTGTATGTGTGTGTGTACAAGGGAATTGGCAGCATACCAGGGAATTCTAGTTTCGGATTGGTATGTGACTCCAATTTTGAAAAACGCTGGCTAAATCTCGTCGAGATAAGCAGTTTTGACCACGAGGGATAAGATGAGTTGAAATCGGATAACAGTACTTTTCAACAGACGCGAAAAACCCCTTCGTGGAGGGCAATTTTTTTTCGTGTGATTTTTTGAGTAAAACTTCGAAAATTTCGTCGTCCGACACTCTCTACCGCCATTATCGTGAGACACTGGGGCAGTGTTGAAGGCAATGCATGTGATGATTTGGTGCAGGAGAAATTGCGGCGAAGTCAACAGGCGTATGACGACATGGTTATTCGCTAAGTGTGCTTTTGCTGATGGACCTCCCAATAAAAAACTAAATAGATCACTATATTTCACCGTGTCCATTAAGCTTTTATTTCCCACTTGCAATCACCTTTGATTCCACTCTAGGACTAATCTCTTACCTTCGGCAACGACGCTACGGAAATCACTAAATTGCTCATAATAAATCTCATCACGACACCTGTACCGCTCATGTGAACATCTTGAGAGAACCTATTTATCACGCCTTTCACAAGTACGAACAGATGGGTAGATGTGTGACTTGAAGTCCCACACGCGAGGGTTCTTAGCTAGTTGTCCTGCCGCGCGCGCTTAAACGTAGCTTCTTGTATTGGATACTTGTCTCGCTGTCGCTGCATGTCGGTTCCTGCAATTGGAGAACAATAGTTACGAACACTTACTGATTGTGCTGGACGACATTGCAGTCTTTTTCTGATAGTGTCTAATGTCCAATGAGCTCCCATCGAATACCAAAAGAACCCAATATGATGGATGATGTTCAAAGTGTTCAGAAGTAATCGATTCAATTCATCATGAAAATTATCTTATAGGCAAACTAAAGTCCTACTCGACCAGCGTAAATTATTTACATGGTTCCAGAAAGGTAAACCCTTGTCAGGGCCTGTGGAAGGATAAAGTCACTCGATTCATCTTTCCTGAACCCTGCACTTGGGAAAGCTGCAATTCTGCTTTATTCAATCTGGTCCGGCTTTCAAACCTGCTTCTAATTCGAATTATGCAAAAAAAGAGCGGAAGGATAAGAAATCATTGCTTCTTGCTGCAGTGTTCCAGTTTGGATGAGTTTTCTTGAACTTACGTCTGGATTCAATGGGCTTGATGAAGTTGCTGGATATTAAGCAGAAGGAATCGCAACTATCATTAGAACTGTTTAGAATAATATCATCCACCGTTGATATATCAGGATGATAATAACTTTATTGCTTTCTCTGAACCGATGGTCGTAGTCGGCGAGGGTTTTGAGAAACCCTCGCAGGTCTTTTGTTACTTGATGCCTTTCTGTGTGAGGTAAGCCTACCCCTTATATGGGTGTTAGGTCCGGCGCTACAGTCGACAGTAGCCGTCGTCAGATTAGATGATTACGGTTTGTGTGAAAGTATTCTGCCTCTTCACAGCGATCAAGCCAATCGCTTGAATGAAATAGAAAGGAGTGGTACAGTTCTGGACCAACCAAGCTTTTCATCCCTTCGAGATTGGCTACGTTTTCGCCCCCTATCTCGAAAAAGAATGAATTTAAGTCAAAGACCTCCAAGAGGTTTTCTTTACCAGTTACTACTATTACTCCCAACCTGGAAATAACTCTGTTCGGATTCGGTCGAACTTCTCTGGACACTACCTCGTCAAACTTTTCTCCTCTCCATGGGAGGGGAAAAGACGAGCAGATGGTAAATGCATCGTGGAGTGGGCACGGCGAAAGCTGCACGCATTTCGGCTCCTTACCACAGACAACGATTGGGAAGGGAACATCTGCTCACGCCATTTACGACGAGTGGCAACCGCTCATTTCCTCTGCATACCTCGTTTATGCAGCCCTACTTTAGGCGAAACAAGCCAGCTGTTGCTTAAGACATTCTCACGATAGCTGGGTTCTTGTAGTGAAGTTCATAAGTGGAAACGTAAAGTAGAATGTCGACTTTTGTCTAGAAAATTGAAAGAAATTGCCGAAGACCACGGGATGATACCTTCGTCTCCGTCCCTGATTCAAGCAAATGATTGAGTCGAGTCAATTGTCAGCGCCCAGCCACCTCGTAGCGAAAACGCTGTGATAGCATGCTGTGAGTGAGAAGGAAGAGAGACCAGACGGCGAGAGCATCCAGTGAACCAGTGTTCTGAGTTGCTGCAACACAACTGTGTGGGGGCGGGGCTGCCAGTGGAAGGCGTTCCTGACCCTCTTCCGTTTATAATCTTCTCTTGTTTCCAAGCCAATTTTCACTATTACAGCGCTACATAACCTTTCTATCCGAGCAAAATGCAAACTTTTTTAACTTCTTTTTCAGGTATATTACTTCAGAATGTGTCTTCAGAAAGGAAAAGCAGACCCTGGCTACAAGTTCAGGTTGGTTCAGAGTGGGGAGACTGATGCTGACTCTTGTGTTCTGGTCTGTAGACTTGCGCTGGTGTCTAAGTAATCAAAAGCCTGTGTTTGTCAATAGCGCGTGGTATCCATATCGTACACAAAAATTTCCGCCTTGTTATGAGACTGGTTGATTGCATATCATCACAAAATGATAACAAAAAACCTATGTCAGTGTTATGATAAAGATGATGTGATAAAGAATTACTGCGAAATATGCAGAAAAATGAGTGTTTGTTATGAAATGGAGATAAGAGCCTAATACTGACGTCAGGTCGTGCTGGGTAGAATCCTTATCAGGCGCACTCCTGCAGTTTGTGACCATGTAAATGCAAAGCAGGGCATTTCGTTGAGATTTCCTGATTCTTCCCTTTAGTTCAGCTACTGTTTGGTAACCATAAGTTACTATTTGAAGTGAAAACTTAGCAGTAGAGCAGCCTTAAGACCGATCTACTACTATTCGATATCTGTCAAAGTATGAACACCGCGTAGGTCGGTGTCTATTTCGCCATAGAGCATGTTATCTCCAAATGAGCACCAAGTGAACAGATGTGAGAACAATGTGGATGTGGGAGAAAACGACATAGTTGTGCACTTCAACTACAGTCACTTCAGCTTTAGGCGGTTACTATATGGAGCTGCCATTAGGACTGCGACAAATTTTACTCGAGGCCTGGGATTTCTTAGAACCTTTATCGGAAAACAAAGATACTTCGAATTTGAACAAAAGTATGTTTACTACTCTTTACAAACTAGAAAATATTCCCATAACTTGAGCTTGTTCTGCACAAAATCATTCTCAGTTCATCACTAATTTATAACCTTCGAAGCTAGTACCAGCGGATAAGCCCCTTAGCAAATATTTCTTGCCACAACATCACGGTATGTTTAAATTTTCAGTACCTAACTCCAAGATTTTCGTCCACCCCAAACCCATATTACATCTTGCAAGCACATTAAAATCGAATCATACGAAAGCCGGTCGGTTGTTATGTCCTATAAATCTCACCGAACCGTTGCTACTTATTAAAATTACGGCTGTGAAACTAATTCACCCCTAATTTCAAGGGCATTTCTACGCGGTTAAACTCACTGCATCCTCGCTTGGTTATCGAAGCGATGGATGCTTTTCTACTGTTGGTGTTGTGCCAAACGTTATGATTGTGAACATATATGAATGAAGATGGATTTTGAAATTTTATTCCAGAACAGCTAAAAAGACGTGCTGAAAATGTACAAACGTAATGAAAATATTTACACGGCTTTACGGACGGCTGTACATAATTCCAAATGTACGAAATGAGTGCCTAATATCGAACGCACGGACCCGGGAGCTCATAATTGCTGTTAATGGGTTGTCGAGTACGGTATCACTCCTCTTCAGTCGACATTCACTAACAGAAACCATGATTGACTCCTTAAACACTAAAAACTACAGAATACAGAAGACATCAGGCTTAGAACGCGAATTAAATGTGAAGAAACGCAAAGCATCTTTTTTTTCGTTTTGAGACCTCGAAGTCATATAAACGTCCTTTTGTTGGATGTTTCTAATAGTGGCCTTGTGGAAGGTGAAGTCAGCTGGAATCAGCTCTTGTGCAAAAACGTGGAATTATTTAGAAACAAGTGTGACATATCCGTCGATATCAGAAAAAAAGAGAGGTCAATTGAATAATGCTAGAAGGGCCACTATCAGTGATCGAATACCAAGGCCTACTGAGCTGAAAGCTCGCCGTCGCCTCCGTAAACACTTTCATCACTGTACGCAATGTACAGAAACAGGTCTTCTTCGTGATGATCCTGGAAATGTTTGTTTCAGTTTACAACGTGCTATAAACAGTTACAGTCAAATTAAGGATGTAAAGAACAGAACACGGCCACATTCCATCTCTTTCGTAAGAACCGACATTGAATAGCAATAAATTCTTTCGACTACCGAAATTCCATCTCGCAGAAGTGAGAGAAATATTGGATTGCCGCGCAAATTGGTGTGTGAGCATGGCGCAGTGGTGATGTGCAAACAACTACTAAAACAAGCGCTTATGCCTGCAGAGAAGACATTAAAAAGGAAACCACTGTCACGATCGAAATGAACGAGTGCCCCTCGCAAAATACAATAGCAATAAACTCCATTCAGCAGTTTTTTTTTTTGCTCTGAGAGCTCCTTGCCTGTCCCCGAGATGGTATCCGATTCTACTCCCGCAAATATATGGGACTTATTTCGCCAATATCCTTATAATTTTGGCATGCTGAAGAACATTCAAGAACATGTTCTACTGTAAGGATTCGACTTACCGCCCTTACACAACCAAAGTCGAAAATAGAGACGGGTCACTGCCAGATTGGTTATTACCCCGACAGATCATCGCTACACAGCACTTCTACTATCAATTCCGTAAAAACATCACTCTATGCGCCATATATAACTTATGAATTAAAGCCAAACAACACACCAAAGAAGGGAGATGGACGTGATTCATAAAACTGGTCTTACGGTACTGATTTACAACAAAGCGACACGCGGCTGGCAGAAATAGCTAGACCTAAGGGACCGGTTTCATTAAACAAGGGAGATGACACAGGAATCGTAACCTTGGTGAAAAATTACCAGTTATTAGCTCAGCCAAGTCAAAGATAACGCCGCACGAAAAGTCACGAAATTGAGAAGCACTTTTACATCAATTTCGATTCTTGAAAATTCCAGTAATCCACCCCAACGAGAGAAAGGCCCCGAAATTCAGTCTTGGACTATCCCTGTTTATTAATAACTGAGCGCAGTGATTTATCACTCGCCCATAAGGCGTAATGAGGAACAGGCGATCGATACAGCCACGACCCAGCTGCACAGGCACGCCAACTCCCACGCGAACAAATCCGAAATTTACCTGGTAGAGTTGTCCCATTGTTGTCATCGTTTGGGGAATAACATTGTTCACAAAGAAGAATAAGGCATCCTCAGGTCGGAGATGAATCCTAAAAAAGGAAGTTGAACCAAAAAATATGACTCCACGGCGGTTTAGAAAAACTCGCACCTTTTCCTGATGAGGAAGTAGAACTGACCGACCGTGAGGTCCGATGGCACCAAGTACTTCTTCTTGTCTAGGTCTCGTAGACGAGACTTCGGAGCCCGTTCCACGATAACCTTAAACAATGAACAACAATGAACAGATCGAACCGAAATTGATGAGTAAATGGAAGGCGTAAGTGTACTGATATTAATGGGGAAGGTTCGAAAAGAAAGTCCTCAAAAAAAAGTCACCGAACACTCACAAGACACCACTCCTTCCTACTTCCTAATATGGCAACCACATACAAACCCAATCTGCGTAATTGCTTGAGAGAAACGGAAGAAAAACTAACGGGAATTCTATCAGGATACTTTCTTCTGATCTTGTCTCCTTCAGCACGGCGTTTTTCAAAGTTGTTCTCCTCCTTGTACGCCCACTTCATGATGAATACCAACCTGTAAGTACAAATATCAAGTAAAGTGTAAGCTGAAAACGCGTATGAATCATGGAGGAAGAACTGGAGAATGACGCGTATGATCAGAGCACGATCGTCTAGCGCACCAACGCGATGGTGGAAATGATAACACACACGTCTAACACGGCAGACGAGCCACACATGTGACTAACTGGACACAAAGAGAGGCAATGGTGACAACCAGCTGATGAGAGAGAAGGAAGCAGGCACTGAGACGAGTGAATGGAGACGATGAGAAATCGACCGACCCAGCAGCGAATGAGTGGGGTCGACCACTGGAACCACTGGTTGACAGAGTGAACGAACGATCGATAATTATGAAAACAAAGCTATACCAGAACGGAGACGCTATTGAGCCTTGATATGATCAGACACTCTCAAACTTGAACAAGACACAACTGGGAGCGATTGCAGAAGAATTGGAGGAACAGCCGCAAAAACACAGGAAACTATTAGTTTCCTCAAGATTTTTGCAATTATTCAACAAAGAATAGCATGGAGCCACCCCAAAATGAATCAGAAAACCAAAGGAAGGCAGCCGTACAGATGACGATGCGCTGCTGTATGAAGCCCGACCGCGCTTCGGCTCCGTCTTTCGCAATATTTCGCAACAAAATCGATGACGTCGATCAGCTGACTTGCACCTACCGCGGCGCGGTCACCCGCAACGCCACCCACCCTGAAACAGGCAAAGCGCGCATTATTCAAATACAATTTCGGCCAAGGTTTCCTGCCAAGAGGCAGACCGGGGCACGGGCAGTTTGTCGTTCAGGGACAGCGACCTGACCGTGACTCAATTTTTTTTTCAACCGGTTGAGCTACTTCAAGACAAAAGGATCAAAATGGTTTTTGTCGGTCGATGAGAGCATCTTACCACAACCACCCACAGATGATGGGTAAGAAACAGAGCACAAGCCAGAGCGTACACTGAATAAATGGCTTGAATATGAGAAAAATTCAGTAGGGATTGATAAATGGAAACAATATTTATTTATTTAAACTGCACTCGTGGCGCGCATAGACAGAACCAAACGCGATTTAGTAAAACACGAGCAGGGGGAAAAACTAGAACGAACAGTCAATCAAGAAGCTTGGTACAAAGGGGAGAGAAATGGGCACTATTCTACTATTACACCCCCAAAAACTCAAAATTTTAATTTTCGATGAAACTTCGCCTATAGAGGTAATCCGATGCCCTGATAACGAATATGACCTTCGTTTTTGGTGTTGGCGCCATTTGGCGCCGATCGGCGCCAATTTGGCGCCAAGGGTGTTTTCACCAAATTTGCTGAAAACTTGCGTTCAGGGGTTATTTGAGGTCCTGATAACGAATATAACACTCATTTTTGGCGCTGGCGCCATTTGGCTCCAACGCCAAAAATGAAGGTCATATTCGTTATCAGGGCATCGGATTACCCCTGTAGGCAAAGTTTCATCGAAAATTAAAATTTTGAGTTTTTGGGGGTGTAACAGTAGAATGGTTCTGGGGGTGTAATAGTAGAATAGTACCGAGAAAAGAATACAAGTAGACTGCATCACCCTTACTGGATGGTCTAAAGCTGAAAAGAAACGAGTCGCCACTAACATAGAAGACCGAAATTCGTGTCAAATCGGCCCATACAAATAGCCATATTAGTTATTCATGAATACATGCAGGATTGAGAAGGCACATTATGTACATGGACCTCTGTTAACCATGGAATGAATATAAGTTACAGCAGATGGGGCATAACTTGCCGAGCAATCTTTTGTTCATTCATGTTAAGATACAGGGTGTTGGGAGGGAGAATGGTTAGCGAAAGGGCCCAAAGCAAAGCCGACCTGGGTATCTTAACCCAAACGGTAACAAACAACAAATTAATAAACCATGGGAAATGAGCAAATCTTCATGAATCAGGGGAATGTTAGCCATCATCATCACTGCCAGCCTCATAATTCTCCCTTTCTGGCCTATTTCGTACGCATATAGCGCTGGCGATAGCTGTGAGACAGTCAGGTATTCTGCGCGCAGGTTAATTGTACTAATGTCTTGCCAGGTGTTATACATTGTGGATGTGACCTCCCCTGGTAATGCGAGACGAGAGAGTACGAGCGCCAGAGTGCCACTTGCGCGTTAGTGCACTTGGGTCATTTCTTTAATTACGAGCGCCAGAGTGCCACTTGCGCGTTAGTGCACTTGGGTCATTTCTTTAATTACGAGCGCCAGAGTGCCACTTGCGCGTTAGTGCACTTGGGTCATTTCTTTAATTCAAGTCTCGGCTAAATTGCAAAGTTACGCTGCGAAAAACAAATTAAACCGGCTTAAAGTACAAACGCTGCAGTTCGAAATATCACATGTTTCACTGGTACTCCACGTGTAGTAGGTTTAATAAATTAGGACCAACAATGAAGGCACACTGGGGGCCTCAAAAAAAAAGAGGGGAAAAGTCAGATTTTGTGGCGAATCTAACACAGCCTCATTAAGTCTACAGTTGGTATGTAACGAAAGGCTCTGTACGGGCATGAAATTGGAGCTGTAACAGAATCTGTTGACCTACCTCTCCTTCATGATATTTTTTTCAAAATGAACCCTTCCGATAACCCTTTGAAACTGTTCTAAGCTTCCAACTGATCAATCAAATGCTATCCGAAGTTGGCAAGATTAATTCTACTTCTTCATTTCTAAGTAGTTTCAGTGCTGCTAAACTCCAAGAACGTTTTGATCAGATCAGATACTTACTAAAGTTCCAAGCCATAAACTGATACACTACTAACAGAACAAGCTGACAAGAGGGGTGCCTCCTTTTAAAGAGTAGCCAAGCGCTGACGAAACCCACTAGAATACGCTAACTAGGTTCGGTAATTGGGATTGTGAGCATACTTTCCCTAATTATATAGAAATTCGTCATTGGACAATTTCTTCTCAATACAGCACAAACCATACTTGGCCCTCACAAAGGACACCCCAAATAAGGATCCCGATGTTAACTGAGATTCAAATAATGTTAGCGGTATTTTCAGACATCGTGAAACGCTCCCACTTCGTTAAAGTATAATTGTTCACGGCAACTAGCAAATATGCAGAACCCTTCCAGCTCACGAAGTGTCCATCTTTATTCACTCTATATGAGTATGTCTAATAGTAAGTCAACCGAACGTGAACGTGTAACCAGTTGTGAGTATTGGACAACCTTATGGTTGATATCTGCTTCTAATTTTTTGATTCTATTCGCTTAAAAAGTGTTGAACGTAGTGCTTTTCGCATCAAAAGCCTTCATCTTACCAAATCTTCTTAGCTGATGGGGTGAGAACTTGGGTGGGTAATTAGATAGCGCGATTTCCATCGAAAAATCAAAACGTTTCTAAAGAAAGGTTATGTTCAACAGTTGGAGCACAATGAACATCAATACTGCACACAGGGTCCCGAAACGGTGCTAAAAATACATTATGTAGATTTCCTGAAAGCCCTGAGGGCTCGTTACTGCCACAAATGACAAGATTACGCCCTCAAAAGATGACATTTTCTTTTTCGAATCAGTCAATCAACGTTGAAAAATTGACAGCTGTTAGAAGTGAACATATAATAATCAACAACATTTCTTACAATAAAGTGACACCAAATGAAAAAAAAGTGATGACATCAACCGATGAAAATTTGCCCCAATACGAAACCCCTCGGTGTTCTCATATAATGCTTTGATCCGAATGAATGAATTAAAAGTCTAAACAATGTCTCTGCAATGATCGATCCATTTACGAAGAACAGCGAGTAGACTAGGGGCATTAGCCTTTAAGCCATCTATCCGCAGACTCAAAGCTTTTCTAGTGTTTTGTGGGTCGATAAGATAACATTGCCATAATTGGAAAGAACCGACTTCAAGGTGAGAAAAAGGTACATAGGTCACTGAAACCCTTTCTTTCAGGACGAGACGTTATTCTTCATATTCATACTCCACATAAATATGGTTAAAATGGTTACGAGTAAGCAGAAACAAGTTTCAATAACATGATAAAGTTTAGTAATGGACATAGACAACCTAGAAAAGCGAATAGTACATATTGTGAAACTATGTGTAACTAAAATCTAATGATTTTTGAAGTAAATCTTGCGAGTAGGGTCTCTATTCAAAAAATGAACTACTAATACAAGTGTTGAACACGAGAATACTTTTTGTGCTCAGTAATATGACTGCCAAAATACAAAAATGACCACGTTTCCTATCCTCTAAAAGAATCCCGTAGTGTGAAAAGCATTCGCAAACAAGCGGATGCTGGATAGGTCTCGAGAACAAACCTATGGGATACTGCTCTTGAATCACAATCATACAAACATGCAAGCAAAAACTAAAAGATTTTTTCAAGAATATCCCAACTGCGAAACGATAACTAAAAATGAATCAAAAGCTATGTGACATATCCGCAGAGCGCGATCGTCGCCTTCGAGTTTCATCGTCGGTGTGGTGACTGCGTTTTGATGAGCTGTTGCTCGAATGGTAAGACGTCAACCGCCTCCTTTCCCTATTTCTTCCACGAGATGACTCCTCCCTGCGCCTATCTTCCTCAAATCGTTTCATTTCGATAAGGAAGTCATACGCCCTACAAATAGGACAAGTATTTTTCAGTATATTCAAAGATAGAAACAATGGGTTTGAAAGACGAGTACTTTTGGCGTTTACGAGGATTCCTCTCACGCTGAAGCTTTTTCCGGAAGCGCTTGAAAATCGACTTCCAACTTTTGTGGTGTTTCCCTCCTTTTCCATGGCTGTACAAAAAAATAGTTTAAGAGAGATGAGAGATATATATAGAAATTGGAACCTAGTAGTTCTTTCGCTTGGCCGATCATTAGAAGATTCAGCCACAGGGATCGCATCTCTTTCTCCAGCTCTTACAGATGATGATGAAACGTCAATTATGCTGACATCGTCTCCAGGAATGTTAGCAGGCCCCTGCGAAAAACGAAAGAAATTAGTTTGAAGAACACACCAGAATGGACCGAAGTGGGTAAGTTATGTGAACAAACTTTCTACTTACCGTTGCACGAGGCACGCTGATGTTGTCTTCCTCAAGAGTAGATCCGTCAGCTTCCTCTCTTGCTTCGTTTTCCAAAGACGATGCTAAATAAAGTTATTATGCCTTCTGTACATTTACAAAATATGCCTGGTAACCTGATAGGTATCTGAACAACCATTATTTTTTGCACTAGTAGAGTTAGAGTGAAAACGATTACCCCCGATATAGGCTAAAAATAAAAGCCCGAAGCTGGTAACAGACGATAGGTCACCATTCACATCCCATTTATCAATTTTTTCTCTTTCCGCACTTAATTCATTGCATGTTAATTCCAAGCAGGTTTGCCCGCCCAAAGCTCACACCACTTTTGAGTGGAGTTGTTGTTCATGAGTTAAGATACCTTGAACAACATATCATTAGAGAAAGCACCTGGCCCGGTGGAAGTGGTCCCATCCGCCTGTTTTGCATTAGCATCCCTTGTTGGTGACATGGATGAACTAACAGCCGAGGGTCCTCCAGATGTTGCACAACGATTCAGCCTTTCTTGCCATAAAGCGGCCAGAAGCTTGTTTTCGCCTGCTAGTACAAATTTTCAATTCATTATAATTTAAACAAAAAGGATGTCAACCGAATCTATTTACGCCTTTAGGTGGTTAAAATGTTGGAAGAAGCTGAGATCGAAGCGAAAAAAGTTTTTCTGCTATAAAATCACAAAATAGGCAATGTGAACAAGTTGTTTCGGAAAATTTCGTGAAGCGAATCCCCAAAAATTTAGGAGTCAGCTGTATAGTACCAGCCCGAGAAAATGATCATGACCACGAGATTTCGAAAAGTTAACTTCTGGAGGCAAACTTAAGACACGCAATTTTGAGCTTCTAATACCACGAGTTTACCGATACTGAGTGCCCGTCCTATATGCCCTGGTTTAATCAACAAACTAGTAGTTGATAAATGAACTCCAGAGAATCTTCGAGAAATAAATAGAAATAAGAACTTGCGAGAAACTTTCAGCTCTTTCTTCGTCATATATAGCACTCGAACTTCAAGTTATTCGTTAACACTGTGAGCCAGTTGTGACTAAAGCTGCGAGCAAATTTTACTTTTTATCTTATTCTCTTTCTCGACAGCTTGGCCATTTTTTACTAAGTAAAATGAGTTGGTCTCGAAAAAGGATGTTAACCTTTGACTTCGCTCGATGTTCTAGGAGGTAGCTTCTTTGTGCATTCAGAACCGAACAAAGATTTCTGAAAAGATGCTCAAGTCATTGAAGAAAGGTAAATGTGTTATGAGTTTGATTCTCACCGGCTTGCGAAGTGCATTCGAAGACGACTGCATCGGCACACTACCCGATGAGCTTGAAGCTGCTGAAAGACCTTGCAAATCATGTCGAGAAGAGCTTCCTGTAAAGGTAATCAGTTGACCGCCCGTCACAAAGATCCATCTTTGTAACACTTTGACGAATATAGTAGGATAGAAGCTTACCCGATTCGTGCGAGCGGTCCATTGGTGTTAGCCAGTCAATGTCATTTGGTACAACAGTATCCTGGGACGAATTGGAGGAGCTGTATTCAACTGGCCGTGAGGGAGATACTTGTCTTCTGAACATATTTAGTTGCGATTATTGTTTAACGAAGTATGCACCTAGTTTAACCAAAACCAGCGATGAAAGCACCAGTTCAGAAAGAAATAGCCAAACAACAGTTCTCACGGGCGGTCACGGGAACGTCTTGTCGGTGATCTATCGTTTTCATCATCGCTGGAGAGAACAATCTGTAAAGCGAACATTGGATCCCTTAACTCAAGTAGATGTTTTCTTATATTCATATCCAGCAGTAATCTTTGTGCGATGTCATGATCAGCAGATAACTGCAGCATGTAAAGATTTCAAAAGTTGTACAACTTAGTCATTTTTTGAATAATCACCGTCGTATCAAATCCAGGCGGGGTATGGGGCACGTCCAGTGCGTGAAGGAACTGTTCACGGCTACTATGTGATAAAGCAAATGGTGTGAAGAGGTGCTGAAATTTCTCATATGGAACCGTGGAAAAATGAAATATAGAATTCCGGGTAAAGTAAGAATAGAAAGAATAAGAACTAACAGTAAGAGATCTAATAAAGAGTTAGGCCAAAAGTAAAACTCCTAGTTCGATGACATTTCTACCTCAAAAAGATCGCGAGAAGAGCCGAAGGCGTCAACTACGTGCATTGGAACTGTGCGACGAGGAAAGCGAAACTGAGGAAGGCGACAAGCTGGCCTAGTGTAGAAATCTCCGGCATTCGACGTTTCAGAATTCGACGACGTAGCTTCATCCTAATAAATGTATTATCATAAGTTAGATATAATACGATTAATATGCAGAATTTTCTTTAAACATTGGTCCGATCGAACAACACTTCGACGGGAACCTGTTCGAGCCCATTTTGCCAGACCTAATTTTACAATTGACTTGAGTTTGGGCAGAAAACCCGTATTTGCATAAATAAATGTCTGATTAATGAAGCTAGTACCCAAACTTAAACTTGAAAATCTGCCTTCTATTTGTTTTGAAACGTTGCAATGCAAAAGCCCAATCAGCGGATTGCTTTCCGAAACAAAAGGAAAGGATAGTACCGTAATCAAAAAAAGAGAACGTACCCGAACGTAATTGCTTTCTCTGGGAACCCTAATAGGTTGTATGTCAGAAGAATTGTTATCACTAAGAACGATCACATCATCTCCATCTCCATCGTGGCGATCGCGATTTCTTCCACCATCTAATGCAACAATAACCGAATCCGAATCGCTGTCGCTTAGCATAACAACCTCTAAAATAGATTGGTTTTTGAAATATCGTCACGGAATTCTGAAAATAACGAACCTTGACTGTTGTTGCCTCTACGATTCCTACGATGCAGCACCTGCCTGAGTTCAGGGGAGCTGAAATCAGAAATTTATTTATACCCTTCCACGAACTCAGGCTTTCCAACATGCCAACATGGCAATGTCAATTCGTTATAACGGGCATACCCAGTAAACTACCTGTATGCACTAGTCCTGTCGAAATCTTGTAATGAAAGCATGCTACTCGCGAACTCAAACAATTCTGACTGGAATCGATCCAGGTAGCCAGGAAAAATCCCTATGAGGCGAAGATTGCGCTGAAGAGAAGTGCTGTTACAAACCATTGTAAAATAAAACTTTTTAAGCTACAACAAACCGAAAATTGCGGAGAATTGATCTGAAACTCTGAACACCAAATGATGATCTCGCTCACAACACTGCTACGGGCTTTGACATATTCGTCCCTGGACTCGTTTGGCTTTCTCTAAAAGAAATTTCCAATGCAAAGAGCTTCTTTGTAAGAAATAATTAATCTGATGAAAAATATATCATGAGGGCATGGATATCGGTTCAAATGATTAGAACTTCGTTGTAAAAAAAGGAGGAAAAAAAGAAGATGTTTATGAGTAGGTATGTTTGGTGGGAGAACGCACTGACACTCTGCAAAACAATATGATCTCCACCGGTGCCAATAAACATATAATTTTGATGTAAGGCTCACAAACTGAAACATGGTGCCGCTTTAGGGTAAATTCTAGATCTTAGCAGTGAGTAGGGCATACTTTCCCGATCTTCACCGCGTCCAGCCCGTTTGCCCATCTCTTCACAAAACATGTTCGAGGACCATGTATTGCAAGAGACATAATCTGGAGAATACTTCAAGGTCGCATCGAAAAGAACGTTTCAAGGCGCCAGGCTTGACTCCGTACCCATTACGGTCTGGGCGCTCAGCGCGACTTTTACCCACGAAGGGACAGGCTCTTTGCTGCGATACTTTTGGGCCGTTGCGTTCGAAAAGATGGAGAGGGGAAGTAAAGGGCGAGGTCAGACAGCTTTCATGAGCGTCCCCCTTTTGACACTAAATAAAGCATTCTCTCTGTAAAGCGATTGAGAAATAGCTACAAAATTGCTGTAAAGGGACTAGGTTCAAGGTGAGCGCTAACATAATGATGTGAAGTGTAACTGAACCCCGTTCACTCCTGAGCAATGCAGTTCTCAGCAAAAATGAGCTGGAATGTAAACAATGCAGTGCTTTCATACGTAATTCCTTCTTCAAAATGCCAATTAAAGACTTAGACCTGCATGCAAAGTGTAAGTTATGCGCCTACTGTAAGATATCTAGTAGGGATAAACTTGATTGATGTGCAGCAAAAGCCATCCCGTTATAACCAAAAAAGGGACCTTTTAACGAGTTCACTGCAAAGATTGTAAGAACAGAGCAATCTAAATCTAAGACTACCGCATTACTTTCACAGTTACGCTCAACGACCAGGATAATTCAGTACAAACAGCAAACACACTATTATTTCTTCAGGAACCTTGGATGCAAGGAAGCACTGTTTATAATTACAATGCAAGCGAAGCGTATTCTCCTTGCAATTTGCCGCATCGCAAGTTCCCCAAAATAAGGTTATTTAGATTACAACGGCGCCTGGAAGCCCATTATTATCCAGGGGTGTTGATGCTGAATGCATGCGTTTTGATCAACAATAGCCTGCGCATGAGCTTTTCACTTGAAAAAAAATTTCTGTTCAAGTGTACAATAAGTGACATGATTTAATGAAACGCACAGCACGCCAGACGATCTGTAGTTCACGTTCCAAAAAATTTCGCAGCCTTTCCGTAGAATCTTCAAAATGAGCGTTAAAAACAGCAGGTGAGAAGGGAACCTGAAACAGAGGCCACAGTGAAAAGAGCTCATTTATTACCAGGAAAATAACCTACTCTGATTGCATTGCGGTCAATAGAGCTCCAATCGAGTTTATCTTTGTAAATTAGTGAGCGGAAAACAATGTTACCAACGAGATCTCCCCTAAAGTGAAACAGTTCGAAAAACAGTTCCAAATCTATTTGCTATGAACGTCACAACCTTGTGGTCACATCTCTTTTGAGCATTTCTAGTTTGGAAATTTCATTGACTATTCGAACATGTGTCCTCGAAAGATCAGAAGACCGATCAACTCGAGCATTGCCGTTCCTAAACAAAGTTTGGTGTGATGAAACATATGAATCAGAAGACTGAAAGTTAGAAAAAACCATGGAACATACATTTGTTTCTGAACGTAATCCAGCCTTCTTTGCAAGCGACGTATCCGTAATCGTATGCATTCTTGTTCGTCAAGAGGCGGTTGTGACTGCCCTCGCTCCGCGAGACGTTCTGCTTCAGCCGCTGCTTTTAACTCCGCAACCACAACCCTACGATGAGAGGTTTAGAGAGATAATTCAAAACTCTTCCACATTGGTGAAATGAATCTTATTTACGACAAGTCGTGCCATATCGCCACTCACATAGAGCGTTTGGTAGGTGACAAATCCACATGATGCCAAAATCTTTGAACATTTTTCATGCAAAGAGGACACTTTCCAGCATGTTTCATCCATCGCGAGGTACATTTGTAACAAAACGAGTGAGCACAATTGTCGAGTACCGTTGGATCGGTCTTCCTGGAAATGGGATGTTTCCAATAAATGCTCTATTTTATCAGAAAGGTTATCTCAGTTCACACCATTGGAAATAATACTAAGTTAACATCCATACCCTTCTTTTTTTGCCTTTCGCATTATTTTTGCATATCAAGCTCACTGGGATGGAACCAGATTTGTACACTCATTTAAATCGAAAACTTTTGCACTTATACGCTAAAAGCGTGTTGCGTGGCCTAGGGCGCAAAAAAGGAGTGGATGTTGAGAGGGCAGCAGACATCCTAACTGCTTCTTCGCCGTGTCATTAGTCACTATTCTAGAAGAACCAATTAATTTTCCAAAACAAATATCATCATTTTTTAGATTTAAAACTAAAGGGCAGAACACGCGCAACCTACGGCTGATCGCTTCCAAGAAGGAAACAACCATTACGAGATCGTTGATCAAACGCCTGTCATAAACAGTCGAAACACTCAGAGTAAACCAAGATAATTAAGAACGAAACAACCAGAAAGATAGACACTAACGGGGCAAGGCAAATGGCGCAGACATCCGAGCTCGACCCTTCACCAAGTTCCATGTTTTCTTCGAGAGGTTCTTGCTTTTTCACTTTCCTTTCATCATACGGGCTGTCTTTCCATTCAGATACACCATTCGAAGAAGAAGGCGGAGTAATTCGTCCTGAAAGAATTAGAATTTCAACAGTTGAGAGCCCAAAGTGGTTATAAAAGTACCCAACCATTCTCTTCCACTTTCAACTGAATGGCAATGCTATCTTTAGCGACGGTTTTAGCTTTTCTTGATCGCGATTCAGACGTAGACGCTTCATCCGGAGGACGACTGGGTGCTCGTTTCCGCTTTAGCGACATCAAAAGTCACTAAAAAGGGTAGTCTGATTAGTTTTAATGTGGTTACTCGATGGCATTAAGATGGTTCTTAGTTTATTCAGCAGAGAAACCACCAGGTCACGAGCACGGGAAAGATGAGAACAAGGCGACAAATTCCGACAGAATAGATTTGATGAAAACGATTCGGATCCATCTTCACAGCCTACATTACGAAATGCAGTCGAAAATTTCATACAACCCAAAGCAAGTGGCGGAAAATGTTCAGCCGTAAAATGAAGGATGAGAAGCGCCGCTGCAGACAGTACATTTAGTTCCGCCATGTTAGCATCATGCGACAGTATCCCTCTTACAAGGAGGAGGGGATCTGTCAACAATCCTTCCATATCGGTCGATATGACCATTTTTGTTCTTGTTGGTCAAGATTGAGTTGTAGAAGTCGGAGAGATTGAACTAGTTCATTACAGGTGCCTTTGGATGCAGTGGTGCATGACGAATCTACACCTGTTGAGGGGTAACAGATTTTTGTGCGTAGTATTCGTAGACTTCACTCTTCCCATGCGGTGTGGAGAGAGGGAACGGCTACAGTGAGTAGGATCTTGAGTGACGGGTAATGGAATGTTACTTCATACCTTCAACTTCAGTCTGTTTTTTAAAATTCTAAGGTGACAGCGTGAACTTCACTCTTACTGCTGTGTTCAACTTACCCTTTACTTCATGGCCCCAATGCCTTTCAGTACACTATGAGCTGCCTCCTACAATTTCAGCGCTTTCAGACGTACGTGTGGCTCCAGAAATTTTTATTCGTTTGGATATGGTGCACAAATACACTCGACATTATTTTAAATACATTAACTATGTATTCGTCTTATATAGTGTTAGCTGGACCGCGCTACCACTTTGTTCGCTTTGATGGTTGGCCGCATTATCTGAAAAATTCATACATCATTAATCGAGAAATACGAGAAAGCTTAAAATCTGTGGCGTTAGTTAGTTCCGTTTTTGGGATGTGCCCCGCATGCGACTTCCACTCAGAATCGTGTTGAGTTTTGAATGCGGCTTATGCGGCCTATGCAGTGACTTCCGGTGGGCAGCCGATCAGTGATTATATCCTCCTAGATGGGTCTGGTACCAGTTAACATAGCCAGTCCAGGAGAAATGGATGGCTTGGCTGGCCCGGGGGAGCAGTAGGGTGGGGTTCGATTCCTGGACCATGAGTATGTTAATGTATTCCACCGGCGCCCTAATCCAGAGCAAACTTCCGAAAATTCGGCCACCACCTATGTCGGAGGTCTTTCTTGGATAAGTTTCCGTACCTGAAACGAGCAAACTAGTCCTTCATCGACATTCATCATTGCAGCAGCGTTGTCGAACTGTCCGCAGTAGTGAGGTGCAGAAAAGATGGTAACAAGGCGCTTATTAGCGAAAAACTCGTACCCATCTTGTACTACCTGCGATGAAAATAATGGTTTCGATGGAGCTGATCCATGAAAAAAGAACTTTACTTGATGAGCTCTTGCGATGAGATCGATATCTAATACTGGTAACATTTCATTAACTACGTCTTGTCCGAATACGTAAGACACTCCACGAGTATTCGCCTGCCAACCCTAAACACAAAGGCGTTTTTACAGCGATGCCTTCGAACTGGGTGACGGTACTTCTCCCCGAATTCTCGCATAAAGTGGCAGTGGTTTTTTGAAGACTACTGTATCTTCCCACTGTGAATTCAACTTTCCCTTCACAGCGCGCGTCTCCGGGGGCGGGAGAGCGACGCGATATCCGGGGAGGAGTACCCGCACCTGTTCTGAGCAGTGATCGGCCTTGAGGTGCATTGCCAATTGTCAAGAGAAAATCCAAGAAATCCTGCGCCTCGTCTCACACCCTATACTGAATGTTAATCGCAAACCTTGACGTAATGATCAGGATCGCTCCACAAGAGATCGATATGTATCGATGGATTTGGGGGATCAATAGGACGAGTGATTTGCCTAAGCTGGTCCAGTGATTTCAGCTGGAACAATGTTCACTAAGTGAGAAGAAGAGCACAAGAAAGTTCTTGACTGCTTTATCAATGGCGCTACTGCGACCAGAGTCAGCCGCCGCACGACCGCACGCTCCATTGCTGTGCGTGGCAGCAAACTCCGGTCTCTGGGACCGGAGCATCCTGGTCAATGAGACATGGAAGCGAGGTTACACTTGGTACAGATCAACCTTGGGAGACAGTCCACCATGCATGCAGAGAATTTTCCCAGCAACAAGCCCTGTGAACGGCATAGCGGCGAATGCTTCCTGAACAGATTTATTATCTGAAAGTAAAGCATCGCTCAATCTCAGACTGGGCTACCTGAAAACAGAGCCATAGTCGTGTACTATTGTAACGTCTGTTGCATTCTTCGAAAAATCCATACACTCGGTTAATAGGTGCGCATTCATGGTTTCCTCTTAGGATGAAAAAGTTACCGGGGTATTTGATCTGAATTCGAAGTAATTACCGAAGAAATTGCTTCAGAACATCCGTAGAGCACGACTCCTTACTTTGTAAGAAAAAAATAGCGCAATACATTCGAGGTTCTGATGGCCACGATCTACATAGTCTCCCAAGAAAAGATAGTTAACCATTGGTGGAAATCCACCTCGATCAAAAAGTCTTAATACATCTGAAACTGCTTATTCAAGACTGGTTGTAGTGATTGATGGATACTAATCTTTCAGTGACTTTTCCGACCAGGGAGTGTTACAGTGAACTGAGTGATGGAATTACGAAAGTATCCAGGACGCGTTACGCTACCCCGGTTCTCAGCTCCACGGAGCTGTCCTGTCCGGTAGTCATTGGCTGCTTTAATAGTCCCCCGGCCAGGGAACTACTCGGCCGACGGTATCGACCAAGATTTAATTGTAACCAAGGGGCGTGGGATCTGTGCAAGGCATCCTTTAGGTAATGCCGACATTTTAAGGATGAGGGCGATCGCAATGAGCAGAACAGCATTATATTCACATTAATGGTGACCCTGTCGTATTGGCTTTCTGAACCTTACTTTCTGGCTATTCGGTTGTTTATTATGCAGACGCTACCCATCAATGTCCACTCATGTTCCAAGGCCAGAGCCAACTTCATTTGGAACAACAAAAAGGGGAGGTCCAGGTTGTCTATACTTCCCGAGGTGAGGGTCTTGTTGGAAGAGGAGGACATCTATCACAATCTTAGTACATCAAGAAATGAACTCTGTGTTACATGTGAACTCATTTACTCCAAGGGCGTGCAAGTTTTTGACTGGGCCTCAGGATGGAAGGAGCACGGGGGTCAGTGAGTTTTCAAGTTTTCAACCTTTCGCACGAGGTAATCTTCTCATCCACCCCGGCACTCCTACCCACCTAAGGTTGTTTGAGTAATCACGCCCCCCCCTCCCCCCCAAACTACATTTCCATCCTTTTCGGGTTGATGTGCTGATGCGATTGAAGCACAGAAATTAGAACATGTTTGAATACCGAATGACGTCAATCCAAGTGTAGTCAGAGTCTGATGGACACTAATGGGGAACTGATGCGTGTAAGTGACATTGGATTGAAATAATTGAGCTAGCACGGACGGTTCATGTGCAGAACTCTTTCAGGGGCTTGATCTTAGACAAAGTTATTGGCTTACCTGCATATTGCCCATGGATATCACCGCATATTTTTATAGGAGATTGAACTTCAAGCAATGATGCCTGGCTTAGAAATACTTGCCTGTAATGTGGAACGAAACCGCTTCATCGAATTTTTATCGGATAGATCAGTAATAGCAACACTGCTCTATTCGATTCAAACTTGATCTTTATATTTTGGACCCTTGACTGATTGACTGCAAACTTTTTTTTCATTTGCAATTGCAATGATACTTTCACTGTGTTTTAGCTTTTTGAGCCATTCTTGAAGAATAGGTCATAATGAAGTCGCAGTGATATAACTTAGGACTGATTAACCTACTCGGCATAACAGAAAGCTTATTTGGTCTGATCATTGCTTCTAGCTAAAGTAGTATGCCGGTCAAATTTTTTTCAATCACTGCATTACACAGGCTCTGAACATGGGTCAGGATGTACCATCGTGATAAGGTCATCTTTCTCAAGCCAGGTCATTGTAGACGCGCCGGCCTCTCTTGGCGGTTGGAGAATTCTTCATCTTCTCTATGAACAACATAGGGTAGTAGTGGTCGTTTGACGAAATCGATGACCAACTGTAGGTGATACTGATGATACTTATGCAGTGATATTTTGTGCTTTGCATTTGCTTGTTTCGTTCGCTTCTGTTGGAAAGACACTAACTCCTAACTAAAACTGGACTCCATTGAAGCATGAAATGAGGTATTCCTCAATTCGTACTATCTCCTTGATTTCAAGCTTCCGTCGATACGACTCAGTCAGGATTCAAACAGGGCAGCAGATCCTCTCTGAAAACGGTTTCCTGCAGTAACTGGTGAAAAGTACTAACCTTGCGGACTGGCATAGGGTTATAAGTTCTGCTTCCTTCACATTGTTAACCAAAGCGCAACCTGGTACTCCAACATTTAACAATCGAACGATCATGTCGTCCACGTCAACACGAGTACCCATAGCTTGCTAAATGTACGTAGTTCAGCAATGAGTTTCTCTAAGTAGAAGAGGTATAGACGTTGAGTTATCATTTGTGTGAGATGATTTCCCATGGGGGAGTTGGAGCGATGTGGCGACTGACCACCAGGAACTCCTCTCCGGAAGACTAGAATACTACGAGTTGACTGTGAGGGGAACTGCAATAAAATGCTGCCTACCCTACACATGAGTTTAAATATTCTACATGTTATGAGAAACACATTCTTATCAAGGGGATAACAAGATGGAGGTTCATTTCCATGCACTTTGGTGATGTGTATGAAGACATCTTTCATCTCTGGATTTGCCTTCTAGGGAAACCGGGTGCACTTCGTTGCGCGCGTCCGTTGCGCGCGTCCCTCGAAGCTAGGTCACGCCGCAACCGTAGCATGCGATGGGTCAGCCCGCGATACTCGACGGAAGTCGCAGTTGTGGGTGGGGCTTACGGTTTGCGCTGGGTCCACGGCAGCTCGAGAAGAAGATAACACGGAATAGTGCACACCATTCACTCCATTGACAGTTGGTGGTGCTGTAATGTCATCTCGAGACCTCAGTGGCTGCTTTAAGACTTCCACGATTCATCCGTTTGTCCGTCCGTCCGTCTGGCGCGTTGCGTGCGTGCGGCGGCAGCCCTACCTACTTGCTGGGGCGTGGTCCAGTGATGGTTGTGAACAAGTGGCTAGGGGCGCCGTCGTAGCGCACGCAATACGACCGCAACGTGCCGGACGGACGGACGGACGTCAAAGTCTGAAGTTTCATATTCCGCTATTCGGCCCGTGAGGCCGGCAGCGGCGCTTTCCCATTGTTTACAACTGAATCTTGATCGATACCGCCGGACGAGTAGTCGCCCGGTCGGCTCGCGGGCTCGCTCGCTCGCGGACTATAAAAGCGGCCAGTGGGCTGCGCCGCACGCGAAGCGGGCGGGGTGACCTGGCTTCGACGGACACACGAAACGGACGTGGCGCAGGGCAACCACTTCTTGGCGGGTGTGGTGCGACTCACGCGTCAATATAATGAGGTCTCGGACAAAACGTGCTAAAACATCATGCCTACCATCATAACGGAAGAAATAAGGACTTATAAGTAGAATAAGTAAAGGAATGACCAACCATGCACGTTTACAAAGGGATTGCATCTTCTAGGATCAAGGACTTTGAAATTTTTCTTATTTTAACATTTGACAAGTAAAGTGCTGACATATGAGGTGAATTCCCATCTCCAAAAGGCTTTTTTGCCATAGTAAAGAGATTTGCTCTATTCATGGTGAAGCCGTGGACTACTGCCAATTTATTTGGTCCATCTCAACAGTGAGATACTGAAACGATGCTGCGTGCGCAAAGACGGTCACGCGTGAATCGCGCCTCCCCCCCCCCNAAATCGTCATTTTGATGGATTGGACATTTGGTCATGTAAGCCATTAAATAAGATACAGTGCCCCCCTTACATTAGAATTTGATACGAACAGAAAAGGATCAAATGACAGAAAGCCAGGGCAGTAGGCACCCGAAGGCAGGGTACGGGTCAGTTTCAAGTTTGTAGTAGTTTTCAACCAGCTGAGTATTGTGGTCAAGTGCTTCTTAGATTTTTATCAATAGTAATCACTTTTTGTAAACAAAAAATCACGGAACCCACGGCACATTTGAGTGCCAACGTTTTTTTTTGCTTACGAGGGCGTGACGAAACCAGTCGGGTGGCAGTGCTTCCCCCAGAATTCCCACTGATCCGCGGCGGCTATCTGTAGCCCTCAAATGAAAATTTAAACCTTCCCATTTGTAGCGCGCGACTGGGCGCGATAGGGTGTGGCGAGCGCAACGCGATTTTCGAGACGTCCTTTCGAAGTATCAAGAAGGGGTTATAGAGTGTAAGAGTGACCGGAATGGGTGCGCGACTGGGCGCGATAGGGTGTGGCGAGCGCAACGCGATTTTCGAGACGTAAGATACCACACCCATTCCGGTCACTCTTACACTCTATAACCCCTTCTTGATACTTCACACATATTCTTCATGAGTTGGTGAATAATGCCTGCCTTTCGTTGTTTTATCTTGAATTTTCATTTTTTGGTTTACAATCATCTTGAATATTAAAAAATGAACAGTGTTTCATAGCGTAATTCGTGTAGTTGTTGGTGCTGAAATGACTCGCTGTTAAAATTTAGTCAATAGTAGGTCAATGGAGATAAAACGCCTATTTAGAACCCTCGCCAAATTTCCTACGATATCAAACTGTGAATTTCTGTAACGGAGACAGTGGAAAATGAACACTGCATGGAGTACGAGAAGCATCACCGAATCCTCTAGGCGGCGTTAATTCTCATTGTTCCACGCTGTTATGGAGATCTGCTTGTGACTTAACCAAACTGAGTCATTCGTTTGAGGGGCAGCACTAATGCCCGGGGAACGTCCGTTGCGCGCGTCTGAAAGTAGTTTATTCCGTCCACTTAGCGCGCGGCGAATACCACTCAGTGTGAGGTCTCTAGATGACATTACAATACCACCAGGTGTCAGTGGAGCGAATGATTTGCATTTGTCCGATTTGTCTTCGCTTTGGCAGACTGCCGTGGACCATACGCAACTCGTATGCCCCTTTGACAACTGCGACGTCCGCCAAGTATCGCGTGTTGACCTGCGGCAAGCGGCCTCTGCGACGTGACGTAGTTTCGACAGAAAAGCGCAACAAAGCGCACCCCTAATGCCCAAAACGGTCTCGAAACTCCATTGCTTGTAAGCTTTTTCGAAAAGTTGTGAAAATTGAGTAGAGAATACGTGTATTTTCCAATTTTCTAACCGCAAAAACGGGTACTTGCTTCAGCGGCACTGCTACATTTCAGGCTTGCATTATTTTGTTCTTTTTCGCAGTCATTCTTATCTAATTATGAACACCCATAGTTTTTATAGCACTAAATTTATGGTTACGCGCTTCACGGCCGCTCAAGCTGTCAAGATTGTGCATCCTGATCGCATGCCTATGCAGGGAACTGATTCCGCTTCGACTTTCGACTTGCAACTCAATGCGAACGAACAAGGGCATCATTATAAGCAGTGCGCATCAATTTAGAGACGTATAAATGACATAACAACACGGAGGTGAGTAACTTCACAATTACGCACCAGAAAGAGCAGTGCGTGTACACCTAGGGCCTTATGTAAATATAATACGGCTACAGAGAATGCTATAATTATAAAATATAGATTCGCTGCATGATCCGAACCACACAACTTTTCACGTTGACCAAGCGGTCAGGTGCTCGTGCATGTACAGATTCCAAGATTCTGTGATCTTCATTACGATTCCCTCAACGTGTACTCGGCGGCAACAAATCAACGACGATTCCATATGTGAATGATGTCTTGTACCCCACAACCTATGATATATGTGCTTACCTTCACCTCTACATACCTGGAAAATCTTCAACTGCATTGATCACGAAATCTACGAAAGGCATTGAACCGGCGATCCAAGTTCCAGCGTAGGAACTCTCCTTTCTTATCATAGATCACACTCGAGTGCTTTTACAATAATTAGTAAACAATCTTGACGCCATCATTGGTAGATGGCGTCAAGATTGTTTACTAATTATTGTTAAAGCACTCGAGTGTGATCTATGATATGGCACGGAAGACACTGTTAGTTTGGAACAGTCAATGAAAGGAACAGAAAAAATGAGAAAACGCACTGAACAAAACACCTGCGAATGGCTTCCTCATATGCAAAGCACACATGGCTCGCTGTTCCTCCCAGTGCAAAACATATCAATCTGATGCGAAAATATTGAAATGGATATTCTTCTTCAATATTTACTCTTGTCGAGCTGTGATCTGATTCTTTTCTCAAAGTTGGGCCAGAATCTCAGCAAAACGCCAGTATATTTATGTTGTTGCGAAGGTTAGGCCTATCACCCGCGAGTTCAGGAGTGTTCAAATTGGACGCTTTATTGACTAAGATAGAAAAAAGCGCAAGCTGCCTCGGCAACGAGACGAAGGTGGAATGAACCGATTAAGGTGGATCAACCGCCATTTCTAGCGGCAGTACGGTAACATACAGTAATATTTCGTAACAGATATCTTGGGATAGCCATAACAAGTGATAACGGAATTGATCGATCGCAAAATAGACAATAGAGTACCTCAGTAACAAA